TCGGAGTATTTGTCGACTCACCGTCCTGCGACCCGGATTAACTTTTGCTTAGCTTTTGCTTGCCATGTGATAGACATAGTGAGAGCGAGAAAGCATACTTTACGAATATACCTACCGGGTGGTTAGCTGCAAACATGCAAACATGCGACCTAATTTAAAAATATTGTTGAGACATCCCATGACTTGGCTGGTTGACTAATATATGCGAAGAAAAGTTGAGTTTCGAGGAACCTCTTGTTTAATAATTGTTGAGCTTACTTCCATTTCGAGTGAAAGTGTTGGGTGAAGAGATTCGAAGGCCGGTTCCACCAGAAGACGACGGCGTACTCCTCTTGACCAGCTGTCGATTGGCTTTGCTGAAATATATTCACTGACTCTGTTTCCGAGGTATTCTCCTTCAATTCCAGCGAAAATGTGCTAAGCCTTCGTCCGTCATATGGCGAACATCATCAGAGCAAGGTCTGATCGTCACAATCAAATTAAAGCTAACGAGTCAAGAAAACTCACCGGTAAATCCCTTGACTGGTTAGCTTGAATTTTGTTGTGACGATGATACCTTGCTCTGATGATGTTCGTCATATGACGGATGAAAGCTTAGCACCTTTTCACCGGAATCGAAGGAGATTACCCCGGAAACAGCGTCAGCCTGAATCTTCCGTGGTTGACTGATGCCAAACGTACACGCTCTCAAGTTGGTGAAAGGTTAGCAAGAAGCAATCAAGGTCTAAGTAATAAATAAGTTTGCAGTTGACCATCTATTCTATTAGTTTAGTATATTCGTCAAGTATGGTTTCTCGCTCTAGTGATGTCTCCATGATGATGCAGGAAAGATTAGCACGAGTTAATCAGGGTCGCATGACAATGAGGCGGGGACTACTTGACACAATCCAAGGGTCAATTTTAATTCCCGAATTCCTTCCAGCTAACTTTTCTTTCGAAATGAAAAGTCTAATCCGACTAGAGGGCTCTTTGAAAGCCAACTTTCGTTGAGTAGGTGTCCAAAGAGGATGAAAATACCTTTTGGAAAAGCTATGCCATGCCAAATTTTTCTCATACCATTGTGGGAAAATTCAACTACTAGTCCATCATCATCTCAGCATTCAAATGACAACGCTATAGTTAAAAGTTTTTTTTTTAAATTTACTGCTTAATTAAGAGTTTACCTTTCTCCTCCAGCTAAATTGAAAAAAAACTTTAGAAGCATGCTCACAATTAATATATTAGATCTAAGTAAAAGTCTGCTTATGTTTATTGCTTGTGAATCTTTTTAATTTTGCTTACTGGATGAGTAAATAGGCCCAGACTCAGCAACTCGGGTGTATACCATTTCACTCATTCCAATATTTGGCAAAACTTTGAGGATATGCTTTGAAGACACGGTAAATGTGGTACACCCAAAGATAAAAGAAGCCATGTTATATAAGACGATTTTCCGCTGGTGTATTTTCAAAGAATAGGTGGTATCGAAGGCTAAGGATAG